TCTGATACTTCATTTAAAATCGAGGTTAGAGTCTGATCCATGGAGCCAACATAACTTAAGTATCGAAAAATTTAGTATAGAGTTATATATATATATATATATATTATAGAATGTTGGAGTTTATTTATTAATTAAAAAGTATAAAATAAAAACGTTTTAAGAATGATTGTAATTGGATCAATGTGAAACTGATCGCTGTAATTAACTATTAATTAATTAATTAATTAATTAATCAATTAATTATCATTTTTATTATTTTGGTTAACATGAGAGCCTCACATGCTTGAGAAAGCCAAAAACTACTCTGACAAAATATTATTTTTAATTTTTATTATTCTTGAAATAAGTCTTTTTTTTTTTTTTTAAGTAAGTTTATTTATTAATATTTTGAAGATTTTATCAATTATTACCCCAACTTGATAATTATTGCTGTATTTAATTAAACTAAATTAGGTATTGAATTTTTAATCTTAAATACATTGAAAACCATTTAATGAATATAATAAATATGTTTAGCACAAAATTAATGACTACATTAGATCTTCCATTTTCGCTCAATTTTTTCATTATTATGTTCCAAAATTTTAATTTTGACTCTATATTATGATACTCGAGTAATTAAGGGGTACCAGTATGTTAAATTGTCGGCCATCAAAATGTCAAATTTGAATTTTGAAACCTTATTTTAAAATTAATATTTTCGTGAATATGGGTTGAGCCGACTTTTTATATTAAAAAAATTTAAGTTTTATGAAAAATTATATTGTTTTAAACTTTAAGAAAATCCATTATATATAATTATTTAATGCGAACAAAATTTCCCCTTTTTTATTTGGATATTAAAATAATTATAACTAATTATGATGGAGTGCACGAGCATAATAAAATAATGCAATTTCATATTCATAATTTATATTATTTCTTTTCTATAAATAATATTAGTGGCTTTTGTCAAAAAGAAATTTATTATATATTAATTTTTTAAAGTTAAAAGATGGCTTCATAAAATTGGTTTAAAAGTAAAACAATTTTATTTATTTTTTATTTTTTTAAAAATTAACCTAATAATACTATTTTTTTTAATATTCATTTAGTTGATTTTTTAATTTATTTTTTACAAATAGTTTTCAAATTTTAAATTAAATTTAAAAATAAATATATACTAATTTTTTATTTTTAAAATTTAACTAGAAATTTAAATATTTACCGTGAAAACAAACCGAACAATATAGTTTCTATATTTTAAAATATTGTGAAATATTTAAATAAATTTATAACGATTCATATTAAGGATTTGGATGAAGATTCAGAATCTCGATTGCATCTTTTTGTTTTCAAGAGTGAAAACTATTCCCGAATATAGGAGCTCACCGAATATAGAAGTGTCACATGCCCACCAACTTCCGCTTTGATTCATCCTCGATGGTGTGACACAGATTCTTTTAACATGTTTTGTCCTCACTCGCATGAATTCCTAAGATGTCACCCAACATAGAATTCTTTGCTTAACCATGAAGTTCCTATGATTGAGCCACCGAAAAAGAAGGTACATCTTGTTTGTATAGACAGTGATTTTCAATTTTTCAAACCTTTCTTAGTCATCCTATTCACAGGATCATTCTCATTTATATATGGTCTCACAAAATTATCCCTTTTTCGTATATAATAACTCGGGCTTTGTTCACTTAAATTTAATTGTTTATTGGGATTATAACATAAATTTAAAAATAGTTATTTTATCTAATTTTATAAAATTTAATATTGATAGGTAGATTTTTAAATTTTTGTTACAAACTATAAAAACAAATTAATTATTTTATAATAAAAAAAAATAATAATCGTAATATTAAATTATGTAAAGGATAATAATGATGTTTGTTATCATAGTAAATCATTCTTGCACTTTTGAAACCTTTTCTTTTTAATTATATTAAGGTCAATTATTAAATAAATAAATAAATAAAAAGATAAAAAGCGTGAAATGACCTTTATGTACATATTTCAAGTTTTTTTAAAAAATACCTATTAACATTATCATACTCTTGAACGTTCTATAGAATTTAAAAATACCCTCGAACTCTTAAGAGTGTTTAAAAAAACTGACGAAGGGGATGGGTCAAACAGAGAGTCTACTGGACGGTCGGAGCAAGTGAGCGTATTATGGGGGACTGTCAAGCACATCCGACAAAGATCAAGGGGGATCTCGTTGTTGCATAGTTCAGGTCGGAGCAACACGCCATTGAACATTCAACAGGTAGTTTCACGATCGGGCATGAGTGTCTGTAAGTTGTCATTATATACTCCCATGAGTCGAAAGGCAACAAGGGAAAGAGGAGGACACTGAGCGGGATCTATTAGCAGTGAATTCCCCTTTAAGGTAAAGATTGCAATGTCGAATATCAAATAGTTTCGGGTGAAAGCGTAATTCGGGGAAGATTCATGCAAATATAAAAATAAAATAAAATAATGGAAATTAAAAAGGAAAAAGAAAGTATAGAAAAAGTATAGTTTAATGTTGTAAATAATAATTAAAGTAGAAATGAAAAAAGTAACATATATTATAATTATTATGGGGCGCTCTAGAAATTAAAAAGCAGCCGCCGGGTCCCACTCCCTACAGACAAAATCATGCATAAAGCTTACCCACCCATATCACTACACTATCAATCAACACAATATTCATATATAAATACGATATTTTTTTTAAAAAATATCCATAAAATTTAAAAGTAAAATTAACGTCGTTCATCTTTATAAAAAGAAATTTTATCGTCAATATATGAATGAAAACTGTCTATCGACAACTCATAAATTATCTACAAACCTTTTTCGTGTTACTTTAGAGAGTTCATGAGTATTTTTTAAATATAATACTAATAGTCAAAATATTTTTTTAACTTTTATTTTGCAGAGGATCACGGGCTTTTTAGAGCAAGGTTCTTTAGACTATTGTTCTCATCGAACATACCGAACTTAGTATCACCAATAGGTCTGAAAAAGTATCTAAAAATGGAAAATTGATGCAGCTCTGTGGACGGTTTGTTGAGCCTGATAGGTGGTGGTATCACACCCTTCTCAAACGAATCGTACGCGACACTCTCACCTCAGGACCTACCCTTTCCTTTGACCAACGAGTCCTTGAATTAGAAGTGATCTTCTTCTAGTTGCGAGACGAAATCTGGTAGCCAATTGCTGGCTCTGAATAACTAGCCCTGCAATCAGTTCAATTCTTCCCTAACATAATGAGGCGGGGTTGCGCGCAAGCCGAGAAGCAGCCTGGTCTCGGAGTTCTCGGAGCTGAAGATCCCTCGATTCAAACTTCGGTTGTCTAAAATCTTGTTCTTGTCTTACTAGAAATCATATAGAAATTATAGACTCGAAGGCCCTGAAAATGCTATGAGGTGTTCTTTAGGAGACGCGTTTTAAAGCATTGAGAGGAAGTTCTAAAAGATTAGCCCAAAAAGAACAATATCTACTGGCAACAAGCTTGAACCGTTACACCGAATTTAAAGATATTTTTATTAATTTAAGAAACCGAGGCTACCAACCAATCTGGTTGGTCAAGAATAATGAACTCTGTAGGACGAACTTACAATTCTTTAATTTTCTTTGGTTAGATTAGCTTGCATTGCCTCGATCAAATGTGTACCAATAAACTATTATTCCCTATCTCATATTTCATCCACTTTAAACTCTTATTATAGTATAACTTCTAAATTCATTTTTTAATGTCTATTTTCGATTCTTAATAAATTAGTAATATATAAAATATCGAGTATGGGTTTAGCATGTGTGACACTCAAGTAAAATATCGTGCTACTATAACAGTCCAAGCATACCGTTAGCAGATATTATCCGCTTTGGCCCGTTATGTATCGTCGTTAGTCTCATGATTTTAAAACACATCTGCTATAGAGAGTATTCCAAAAATGTTTTGTTTCCCTCTCCAACCAATATGGGATCTCACAATTCACCCACTTGGGGGCCCAACGTTCTCGCTAGCACACCGTCGAGTGTCTTAACTCTGATACCATTTGTAACAATTCAAGAGGTTTCCACACCCTTATAAGAAATTTTTCGTTCCCCTCTCCAACCAATATGTGATCTTACAATCCACCCACTTGGGGGCCCAACGTTCTCGCTAGCATACCGCCCAATGTCTAACTCTGATACCATTTGTGATAATTCGATAGGTTTCCAATCCACCCACTTGGGGGCCCAACGTTCTCGCTAGCACACCGCCAAGTGTCTAACTCTGATACCATTTGTAATAGTTGAAACACACCTCTAGCAAATGTTGTCTGTTTTGGCCCGTTACATATCATCGTCAGTGTCACGATTTTAAACGCATATGCTGGGGAGATGTTTCCACACCCTCATAAGGAATGTTTAGTTTCCCTCTCCAACCAATGTGAGATCTCACAATCCACCCCTCTTGGGTGCCCAACATCCTCGTTCACACATCCCGAATGTCTAGCTATAATACCATTTGTAATAGCTTAAGCACACCTCTAGTAGATATTGTCCGCTTTGGCCCATTACGTATCACCATCAACCTCACGATTCCAAAACGCGTCTACTAGGGAGAATCTCATAGTTACTCTATAGGGATAGTTTTCATTTTTAAAAGCGACAAATAAGTAACGTGATCATGTTATAAGGTAATACTAGAACTATTAGGTACCGAATCCTGATCTAGATCTGGAGGTAAAAACCCAAAATAATTTTTTAAAAGAAAAAGTATATACTATTTAAATCATATATAAATATAATTTTTCATTAAAATTAATTAATTGGGGTTGGTGGATTATGATGTCTCTCTCACTTACCTTGTCCTAAGCATTGATGACAGCCCATTTGACTATTCAAATTTGGATCCTTTTATATATAGATATATATATATATATATAATATTGAGATTAAAATAGTGAAATTACCATAATGGGTCGAGTGATGAAATGGTAAATTTTTGAAGCTATAAAAGGGAGTGTTTAGGCATTGCATTAGAACTCACAACCAAACCAAAGATGGGGAAAAGAGGTTCCTCAATGGCCTCTTTGGCGGTTGCCATTTTGGCAACATTGCTCTCTTTAACCTTCCCTTCTAATGCTAATGAGTATCTCTACTCTTCCCCTCCTCCTCCGACTCCCGTTTATCACTACAAATCCCCGCCCCCGCCTCCTCCTCCGCACAAGAAGCCTTACCATCCGCCTTACCACTACAAATCTCCTCCTCCACCGCCGCCCGTGTACAAATATAAGTCACCTCCACCACCTCCACCGTACAAGAAACCATATCACCCACCTTATCACTACAAGTCTCCGCCACCTCCTCCACCTGTTTACAAGTATAAGTCTCCCCCTCCTCCACCACCGTACAAAAAACCGTACCACCCTCCGACACCCATTTACAAATATAAGTCTCCTCCACCACCGGTTTACAAGTACAAGTCGCCTCCTCCTCCGCCACCTTATAAGAAGCCGTACCACCCGCCTACACCAATTTATAAGTACAAATCTCCACCACCACCGTACAAGAAGCCCTACCACCCACCTACACCGGTTTACAAGTACAAATCTCCACCACCACCGGTGTACAAATATAAGTCACCACCTCCACCACCACCATACAAGAAGCCATACCACCCTCCCACACCCGTTTACAAGTACAAGTCTCCACCACCACCCGTCTATAAATATAAGTCACCACCTCCACCACCACCGTACAAGAAGCCGTACCACCCTCCCACACCAATTTACAAGTACAAATCTCCACCACCACCCGTCTACAAATACAAGTCACCACCTCCGCCGCCACCATACAAAAAGCCATACCACCCACCAACACCGATATACAAGTACAAATCCCCACCACCACCGGTCTACAAATATAAATCCCCACCTCCACCACCACCGTACAAGAAGCCATACCACCCACCAACACCAATTTACAAGTACAAGTCTCCACCACCACCTGTCTATAAATACAAGTCACCGCCTCCACCACCACCGTACAAGAAGCCATACCACCCACCAACACCGATTTACAAGTACAAGTCTCCACCACCACCCGTCTACAAATACAAGTCCCCGCCTCCACCACCACCCTACAAGAAGCCATATCACCCACCAACGCCAATTTACAAGTACAAATCTCCACCACCACCCGTGTACAAATACAAGTCTCCTCCACCACCACCACCGCACAAAAAGCCCTACCACCCACCATACCACTACAAGTCTCCTCCACCACCACCACCGATCAGACCCTATCACCCACCTCCAACCCCAGTGAAGCCATACCACCCACCACCCGTCTACCACTACAAATCTCCCCCGCCACCACCACCGGTCTACATGTACACATCGCCCCCACCACCTCACTACTAAACACTAATCTCATCAAGGTACAAACCATACAATCAAACAATCTTTCCTTAATTTTGATAACTTTAATGAAACATTAATCAAACGAATCTTTACTGTCATTTGTAGGAAGCAAAAGGAGGCTGTCAGCAAATAAATGGCACGTCGATAAGCGTTAAGAATTGGAACAGGGAAGCGTGGAGGGTTGTTGTCGTCGTTGCTGCTACTTGAGCTTCATAACCGTTGAATTTGTTGTTGTTTTAGGGTTTGTCTTGTTTTTTTTCTTTTCCATGTCATTTTATTAGTTGTAATGCACTCTATATTAAAAATATGTGCTTCAAAAATCAGAGGTTGCTCATTTCCCAATAAAAAAAGGTCTGTTTTTTTTTTTAATTTTGTTGTGAGGGCCCACATTTTTTGTTATTTATTTATTGACCCCTCTTTGGATTCTCTTTTGCTTTTTGGCTCAATTATTTACTGCCCTTTTTTTGTCACATGTCTACCATAACTAAGGCTATTGCAATTGTACTTTAATTCAACTACACCTAAGTTATATAATTGGGACTTAGTTGTGCAAAATTCATAAATGTGAGGATTTAATTGTAATTAATTTAGTGGATAGTTCGAAGTTTATGGTTTAAAGTCTAAAAGAACCACGACGATAATGATAATAATGGTGGAAAAACGTTTTTTTTTTTTAAATAGATCGAACCTATTATTACTGAAATGATTTGAATATCGAGTAATCGGCGTAAAAAAAAATATAAGATTCATATTTATTTATTTTTTTTCGTTAATTTCTATGAAAATTTGCTTTTTAGTTTAAAAATATAGGGTAGGTGTGTTCAAATGACTCAATGGGTTGTCAAGAACGTATAGGAGGTAAGATGCGCAGTTGGTCAGATCTAGTATGGATCGTACATGGACGGTAGTTGGAGTTGGCGACTCTCTTAGGGTTCCCTCATCTGGGATCCTTGGGAAGAGGATCAAGTTGGCTCTTGTGAACTGCTTGATGCACTATCTCCCTTCAACCCTTTGAGCGAAATGCGGCAAAAGGAAGGAAAATCCATGGACCGACCCCATCGTCTCCACCCTGTAGGAACTACGAAATCTCCCTAAGGATACCTTCGATATCCAAGGGTCGCGGACTGACCATAGAACCCTGTTCAATAAGTGGAACGTAGAACCAACCAGACCTATCGATCCCAAACCATAAAGTTGAGGTTGGATTTTATTTTTGGGTTGGGTTAGGTTGAATTTTTTAAAAACAAAAAACCTCGGTTAGTTCCCAGGTTGACATTTTTTTTTTTTTGTCGGGTCAATTGGACCCACTCAAAAATAGGGTTACAATCCAACCCTACTTTTAAGATTATTACGAAAATTAAGAATATTTAACATTTGTAACCAATGTTAACGATAGATTGTAACTTGCCAATATTTGATATTTGAGATTGACGAGATTTTAATTATTAATAAAACATATATGGTAAATAAGTAGAATTTTTAAAGTAATTTTAACCCGACAACGTGGGTTGGGTTGGATTGTGTAAGATCTCATATCGGTTAGAGAGGAAAACAAAGCGTTTCTTGTAAGAGTGTGGAAACCACTCTCTAGTGGATGCGTTTTAAAATTCTGACGGGAAGTCCGAAAGTGAAATCTCAAAGAAGACAATATTTATTTCGTCGGCACTCAATCAACCCAAAGTTTTAGGCTGATCTACGAATTTTTTTCAACCCAATTGGCGTACACTTTTAATATAGTGAAGAGATCTAATTCTCCCACCTCAAAAAAAAAACGAGTAGATATCTCAATTACTATATTACCCTCAAGTGAGGTCACGTTTTTTAGATTTACTATAATCATTTAATAATAATTTTGTGTATGAAATAAAATATTTAAATGAAATATTTGAAACGATATAGATAACTATATACACTGTATACATTAAAACATGCGATGCTGATAGTAAAGTTTCTTTAAGAACTGTCGATAGTGACAAGACAATACAATAAACAATGGATTAATAAATAAGATCCATGATTTAAATACCTACCCCTCATTTTAATATAATAAATTTTCTATATTCTTCAAATAATACATAAAACTATTCTCATTAGATTTGTTTTGATGAGCACTACAATTTTGATAGAGGAATCGAAACCAATCATACACGAAATCAAGCATATATTGTCTTTTTTGGGCTTTCCTGACTTTTCCTCGAGTTTTTTAAAACATGTTGTTAGGGAGAGGTCAACCGATGTGGGATTTCACAACTCACCCCCTTCAAGGTCTAGCGTCCTCACTTGTTCTTCTCCCCAACCGATGTGGGATTTCACAACTCACACCCTTTGGAGCCCAATGTCCTTGCTGACACTCGTTCCTTTCTCCAATCGATGTGGGATCCCACCAAATCCACCCCCCTTGGGGGTCCAGCGTCCTTGCTGGCACATCGCCTCGTGTCCACCCCCCTTTGGGGTTCAGCCTCCTTGCTGGCTCATCGTCTGGTGTCTGACTTTAATACCATTTCTGAACTTTCTCTCAAGGTTCTTAAAATGTCTTTGGTAGGGAGAGGTTTCCACACCCTTAAATGATGTTTCGTTCTTCTCCCCAACCGTTTTGCTTGTCAATCATATCACATATCATTCATGTTGTACATATATTACATCATAACTTATCATATCTTTGCACGTATTAATTCACATCATGCACATATCATACCATATCATATATCATAATAGTCACATAACACACCATAACATTTCATCACAATATATCATATCATAAAAATATCATATCGTAAACATATCAATTCATCGCATACACCATAATATTCACGGATCATATCATACAAATATCATTTCTAACAGTTTACATATACAAGCATATGACACATGCGAAACCATGGACATATGTCATCATTCAACATACAATTATAACCAAACCAACGGTAGGGCTCCTTACTTGGTTGACCTAAGTTGGTTGAGTTAGGCCGAAACTACTATGACTCCTTGATGCTAGCGTTACTTAATGCAGCTCTCTGAAATTTAATTTTGACTAAGAAGTCCAATAATCATAAATTAGAACTACAGTGTAAATTGACTCACCTAATTTTGCATTAAAATAATTTTAAACCTACTCTAAATAATTTAAATTGATTAAGCTTAATTAGGTATAAAAACGGACCCCTATTAATTTAAATTAACTGAGCCTAATTATGCATAAATAATTTAAACCTGATTCCTAAAATTTATGTGGCCAAAAGATAGTCATACTAAGTTTAAATGCTTCCGAACAATTGAAACTAGAAAGAAAGAGTATGAGCGTGTCAGACCCAAGCTAGATCAGCCAAAATGCTGATATTGAACCGTCAGAAAGTGTATTCTCCAACTTGCTTTGAACTATTCAAGTGAGATGCTAAAATGAGGTGAAGAACTTGGGATGTGTGATAACTTTTTTTTTTTTAGTTTTCTAATTTTGGGGCTATTACACAAATAACTCAAACCAAACTAACCCAAAAAATTATATTTGGGTTGAACTTATTATATTTAATAAGATATGTTTGAGCCGAAAACATTTACGATCCAAACAATTGAGTTTGGTTTATAAAAATGCTCTAATCCAATTCAATTCATAAACGTTCTGTTTATGAAACTCTAGGGTTTAACCGGATACAACTTCATTTTTTTGTTTCTTACCCAACTTCTTCAAACTAAGAATAATGATGTATGGCATAATCAAAGCATCATACAAGCATGTCAGAGGAAACTCATATTTGGAACAAAGAAGTGAATGAAGATAGATATTGAAAATGAGGAAGCAAAAAAGATGGGTAGCTTTGTTGTTGGGAGTATTTGAGGAATATGCCCAAGGAAACAAAGATGGGTAACAAAAATGGAGTTAGGAGCTCACATGCAAAGGGTTTGTTTCAAGGAGAAATGATGATATGAGGGCAAAGAACAAGTACACTTTTGGTTTTGCGTCTGAAACACTCTTTGGGACCAAACATCGTGAATCATTGAACATGTCGACTTGAATAAATACTTTCATACAACTTGTCAGTCCAAAAGGCTGCTACCTTGTTTCTCAATATGTTTCTTGTTTATTTTTCTGATCCCTTCTATATTGCTAAAATATTATTAACTTTTGTCAATTATCTTTAAGATATTCATTTTTATAATGTATACTACGTACCTAACTTTCCATGGCCATTCCAACATCATGTCATCTCTACGAGAATGCTTTACCTTTACCTAAAGCATAAGGGTAGCACGTGACTTGAATATTTTTAAAAAATACACAGTAAGTAATTTCACGGTTGGGTCAAGTGATGCAAACACATACATACATAATGAAATCTATCCTTTAAAACAACATAGCATGACCTTGAGATCTTTCGTGTCTAGTTAGAGTTGATACCCCTTAGGCCTGGCTTGTGGGGCTAAATGCGCTTACGCCCGACTGTACACCACAAAGGGAAAGGTTCACATGATATCATGGTGAATATAGATATTGAAGGTATGTGGCTATACTAATATAGCATAATAGGAAAGTACCCTGATGCATATGATATACATATACGCATGAGGTCCCCATAACTTAAAATCATAGCATATAATAAGAATCATTTTGTTCTTCCTTTCATTCATGTCAGAGTACACATGAGTTATGTACGCATAATACTCATCATGGATTTCACATGCATCATCATTAGTATAGTAATAATCTATAACATGGCTTTACATGACATAACATACATAGCATTTCATATCATACATATCATGGCATAATAGGACATCACATACGTACATAGCATGACATCGTAGGTCATCACATAACATACATAGCATAGCATAACATTCCTAATTATGACACATGCAAGGACGGCGGGGCATGCGTCATCATACAATATACAATTCTTCCAACCAACCAACACTAGAACCACTTACTTGTTTGTCCTTGATTGGAGTCCCTAAATATTTTTAAGTTGGTTAGAGACTGTCTTTCAATGTCTAATTTTACTTATACAGACCGATGATACAACAATAGGATATATCAACGGATTTGAGGTTGAATTAGACTTTGTGGAGTAGATTTAGACTAGTATTAAGAATAATTAGTAACTCGGACCTATGCCAACCAGGTAACTGGTTCTAATGTTAGCTTGGTTGCACAAAATTGTATGATGTATGATGATGCGTGCTTTGTAGCCCCCTTCACGTGTCATAATTATGATTGTTATACTATGTCATGCTATGTTGTACTATGCCATTTCATGTCATGCCATGTTATGCTATGTTCATTATGTCGTGTTTATAAACTATGCTTTAGTG